AGGAAATCGACGAAAACAAAATGTCGCCATACCACAGCCAGCGCCACAGACGCGTGCAGGGACACGCTCTTTCACGCGCTTCTCAACAAAAAATAAATGTAAAAGTCGGAACAAAATGGTCAGATGTCTCCACCCTAAGCAAAGCGCACATGAAGGCACCCTAGTTTACCCTTCCAACGGCGTTCTTTCTATGCTAGTCACGGGGCTTAATCCTCGCCATATGGGGGCACCGGCTAATTTCTGCCCGCGGGTATTGTTCGAGAGCGTGGGCTCAGGCGGTCGAAGGCCGAAGAGACCACGTTAGCCACCCGAATGGAGAGCAAAATACCGGTGGCGTAACACGTGATCATCTCCAGGGATATGTGCTTGGAGCTTTCGTTCGCTCGCCCGTGCAGCGCGTGTAGCTTTGTTTTGATTCCTAGCTTGCTTCGATGCTGCTTGATCTACTTGTCAACACGCTGTGCGCAAAAAAGTTTGACTAAACGGCGTGACTCGTATACCGGTCTTTTCTTTTTCCCGAGTGTCTCTCCCCAAATCCTCTAGTAACTGAAAGGGAACAACTCCACGAGTGTCGAAAACTACGGCAATCGGTACTGATCCGCGATTCAATGTAACGTCAAAGCGCACAAAAAACAGTGAGTAAAGTCACGCACATATACTGCAGACGAACGCTCCTCACAACTGATAGTTCGTCTTTAATGCAGAATTCCGTTCTTGCTGAAGCTAACTTTGATTTAGCTTTAAAACGTGACGTGGGCTACGGCAGGACACGTTCAAAGAGATTTGGCCGGCTGCCAAACACCTGCGTCTCGCTAGGCTGGCAACGCAACAATACGGTAAACAAAAACAAAACAAAAATACTGATGAGATATGTACCGAGGATTTCGAGTCGGTAGCATTTCAAGGTGAACGCTATTCCAGGTCGAGCGCCCTAATTGCCTAGTTTGAAAGATGACGTCAATTGGCGACACTAATACTTTAAAGTAATAAAATATCCACAAAGACAGGGCATTTATCGCTATTGCTTTCATCTCGAAAACAAAATCAATATTGGGGAATCTATATAGTTTACATTTAGCGTTGCCCTAACTGACTACGATTCACTCGGGCCTGCGTCCCTAAATTCACTTTTATAGTTTCAATATTGGGCTACGTATCGAGAGAGTTGGCGTCTTGACTCCAACTACCACGTTCATACCGTCATTTTGCAATGAGAAAAATATACCCTGTCAAAATTTGTTCATGGTAATTACTATTAAAGAAAAAAAAAAACGCATCTCCACGTGGTGAATGATGTTGATTGGGTTGAAGCTCTGGTGGTGCTTGTCTGCGTAGACGCTGAACTGCAGCTTGCCGAGCCTGTCGTTCGTTTTCATCCATGTAACGCTGCGGTCAAATGCTCAAATGCGTATATAACCACGTTCCATACCGCACATTCTCTTTCTGACATGGATGAAAACGAACGAAAGGTTCGGCATGCTGCGGCTCACCATCTACGCAGACAAGCACCACAAGAGCTTCGCCCCAATCAACAATCATTCACCACGTGGAGATGCGTTTTTTTTTTGCCCTACCCGAGCACGGAAGCACGTGCTCACGTGCTCGTGAGCACGAGCACCTGACGCCGGACATCGGACAGACATACGGACATGACTATCCCCTATGCCTAGGGGTATTCACACGAGGGAGAAATCCCGGGGATTTGTCCCCGGCACGCGCGCATCACGAGATGAAAACGCGAGGCTTTTGCACATCGCAAAGCCTGACGTTTTCGTCGTGGGATGCGCGTGCCGGGGAGAAATCCCCGGGATTTCTCCCTCGTGTGAATACCCCTTCGCCCCTAAAAATATCAAGTACATTTAACGTGAAAATAATTGTTGGGCTCTTCAAGGATTCTTAGGACACATAAACGTCCATGGAGAGTTCTCTAAGCCAAATACAATAGAAAACTTGCGGGCTATCCGAGCGCCTCACAAAAGAAAACTATCATACCATCCTCCTCAAGTTCGAGTCGAAAAGCAAATGTTACAAAATTTCAGCAATCTGCTTTAATACGTTGGAAGATTCAAAAGCAAAAAGGATCGTGAAGGAGCCATCTTTATCTGTAATTGGGCCCTGCTCAGCGCGCTGTCTCGGGCGAAGAATATCTGGTCATTAGGAAATGAAAAAAAAAAAGAATTATCAACATTCGTTAGTTTTGGTGATATTCTGCGCAGTAGGATTTAGCATCAGAATGAGGTGAAAAGCAACGTCGACAAAAGCAGACATAAAGAAGCCATATATTTGGTTCCCTCTTTCAAATATGTTACTCTCCTCGTATTAAACATTGTATATAACAGTATTACTAGTAGATCAATTTAGAGTTTTTACCTAAATACATATATAAATAAAGAATCGTTAATAAGAAGCAAATGAATTCCTTTGATTAAAAAAAAACACGGTGAAAGTTTTAATGTCGGCACCTTATAAATTTATGTCTTAACTTTTTTTTTATCCTCTTATCCTTTGTTTTTCTGCTGAGTCCGCAATGCAGAATAAAACGTCAAGTCAAAATCAAATCTGGGGTTTACGTGCCAAAAGAACGAAGGTCATTTGGCCACCCCAGCGGAGGACTGAGGATTAATTTCAACCGCCTGGGGATCTTTCGATGTGCATTCCGAAATCACAGCTACACAGGGACTTCTTTACAACACGCCTTCGTTAGATAGAAGGCACATCATCGGGGATTCGAACCCGCCCCCGGCCGATCTGTTGGCCGGCGCTTTGCTTCGGAGCCAGCTATAGGCGGCGTCCTTTTGTTGAATTACCAAAGCATCCAAGAGAATGCTGGGAACGTAGGTACACGCGCTGCACGCGCTCGCCTTTGCTATACAAAAAAATTCTAAGTAAATAACCAAAATAGAGCTTTCGTGGAACGCGCGTACGAAGTGCGATTTCTTTTTTCTTTCGAACACTTACAGTTGGAGACGCCAGCACGCACAGCGCATGTACCTACGTTCCCGATATTTCTCTTGGATGCTCAGATAATTTGGCAAAAAGTTTATTAAAATGTCGACTAAGACCCGGCCGATGCGACGTGCCGAGCACAAAAATGCACTAGAATCAAACAAACAAACAAAAAAAAACACTAGCAAAATTGGCGTCATCGGTGGAGCAGGTCGCCTCCTCCCCACTTTCGGTCCGCTTAAGTGGAAAGAGGTGGGAAGGGGGCATCACCTGAACGCTTAACCTGCCACCGACTGATGTGAGAGGCAAACTCCGGACGGCCGGCGTTCTTCGTTCGAACGCGTACAACGAGTGCAGTGGAGACAAAGGCTTTAGGCCTACCCACTAATCCAGCCAATCAGCGCTCGGCGTTCTGACGTCCCCTCTTGTCTCCTCCTCCCCCTCAGCTCCTCGGCGCATACAGTTGATAAACTTGTCATTTATTACGGTGTCTTTTGCGCACGCCACTTTGCGGCGTATCCAAATTGAACGCAAGCGGGTGTTATTTTTTTTTATTTGGTCTATAGCAGTGTTGAGGAGTTGCCACTCCGGAGTTGGAATGATTCCAGAATCATTCCGCATTTGCGCGACCCCGGAATGGAATGGGAATGGAATGGCGGCAATGGGAATGGAATTAGATGCCTTTGGTCCGGAATGGAATGGGGCCGAATTCTTTGTATTTTTTTTTGTTTTTTTTTTGTTAGTTTTTCGCTACATCGAGTCGGTTGTTCAGAAATAAAATGAGCGAGAATCTGCGAACCCAAGTAAGGCCCTAAGAGACTTATACGCAAAAAAAAAAAAATGCAATACAAAAAAAAAACAAGCGTCAAAGCAAAGAACAGAGGGGAAATGGGGGGGGGGGGGGGGGCGCCTAGCTTTCACCAGTGAAGTTCAGCACATATCCGAATGCGTCTGCGCCTGCAATATTGAACGGCTCAAGTGTACGTCATCAGCAGACGTGAACGTGACCCGCTGCTCTGGTGATCCGATACCCAGGAAGGAGGCCTAAGGTGGCCTCGCTGTGCGGACCCAGACTTCGTACACCTGCGACTCGTCTCGAGTGCGCTGTTTCTCGGAGAGCTCGCACCTGTGCTGGCCATCTCAGGTCGCAACCCACGAGGTCTCTGTTTGAATGATGCTAGGCGAAACTTGAAGACTGCCATTCATGCGTTGGAGGCGGAGAGTCGGCAGGAAGGACCGTCACAACAGGGATGCTACCGTATCGATTTTTCAACCGTAACAGAAGATAAGACATGTGCTTCAGTTTTCTCAAAAATTTCAAATGCAACTTCAACGAGGTCACCTACAACGAAAGTACGGACGTCAAATGCAACTTCAACGAGGTCTTCAACGAGGTCACCTACAACGAAAGTACATACTGTCCTTTAATACAGCAGCGTGGGTAAAGTTTCGTGTTCAAGGCAACACCTTGGACATAAAAAAACAAATAAGCCTCTACTTCAAAATTAAAGCCTCACCTCAGTTGGCGTCTCAAAGAAATTTGAAAAATGTATTGCATTATCAGATTTAAATTTCTGCCCTCCCTAAGATGTATTCTTGTATTTGTTTTCCAAAAAGTTTTTGCCTCTTTTTAAAATGTATTTCCGATACGTATCGCGATACATTTTTGCAGATATATTTGAGACTTGAGAATCAGTATCTTAGCAACTATTTTCATCTATCCGAGTATTTGTATTTCCAAATACATCTTTGAATAATTCTGCCCAACCCTGCAACGTAATGCAGCAGTCAAGTGGCGCTTTTAACGTTTAGGAATTAGGGGAATGGAATGGAACGATTCAGCCGTTCCAGGAGTGGGAATGGGCCCAGTGTCCCCATTCCTAGCAGTTGAAAGGGATGGAATTATCGAAAACTCTAATTCCCCGGAATGGAATTGGAATGGAATGGGGGTGCTCATTCCGCAACACTGGTCTATAGCTGTTCCACGATGTCGCGTGCTTTCAGACTTCTTCAGGAACAGCTTGCAATGAATAAAAAAAATTGTACTTGCTCACCTTCATCGCCTTGTGAATGTATAAGGGCAGCACTTGGTCGGCGTCTGGTTCCTCGGTCTCGGGGTTCGTTAGTGGGTTGGTTATGGTGAGGTATACTGTAGCCGAGACGACGAGGGGCAGCACAAGCAGGAAGACCAAGCCCAGAGTCACCAGGAGCGGGTTGTACGGAAGGAGCGGCGAAGGCGGTCCTTCTATCAACAGGTCCTGCCTCAGAAACGTGCCTCGTGGGGCCGACTTCCTGCTTGGAGCTTGCGGCAGCTCCGTGCCCGGGAAGTGGTCTTCGTCGAGCATTCCCGCTACTTGTCGTAGAGCCCATCTTCTTCTTCTTCCCCCTCTGTCGGGTCCGCCGCGTTTTGTCACTTTTGTGTGCTTGTTCAAGGTCATCTTGCATAGTACAAAGTGAATGGTAACTTATTAAAATAAATATATAAATACACACTCAAAGATACTATTGATTGCATGTTACCTGTGTTCATTGGGCGAGTGTGTTAATTTATGTTCATTTATGTTCATACCTGTGTTCATTGAGGTAATAAAGCCAGATTAATCAGTTAATTAGGTAACTAACGAGTAAATATTGCCACGTGCTTCTCACTTTTTATCCTGGTAAATATTGTTACTTTACGCCGCGTACCCAGTATTACATTTTATAAGTGGACGATAACGCTTTTTTAGTGTTAGTTTTAAACTGTTATACAAAATTTTTAAACCAAAAATTTCGAAAATCTCTTGTCTACACTTTTATTATAACGCTGTGTACGCGTTGTGAAAATATCCCTTCTTAAGATAAATATTCAGAAACAAAAAATGAAAAGTACGTGGAAGTATTTACTCGTATGTTGTTTTAATAAATAATTGATCTATGACTGTATTAGCTTACCATGAATCCACATGCAACATGCTAGCAAAGTCACATTTGAGTATATATTTTTAAATTTCTTTTAATTATACAGAAGCTGGAGAGGTTCTCAAAGAAAACGAAACAGAGGATACAGCGGTGTGCTGTATCTTAGTCAAGTAAGCGGCACTCGAAGGCACACGCTACAGTGAGAGTCAACGAAGCGAGTGCGGGCGGCTAAATCGCACCGCACTCGGCCAATCGGCTCTCGCGTCGCGATTTTTGATTCAGAGGTCTGCCTACCATATGACATGTACGGGGGTGTTCATAAACGGCTCCTCTCGACTGCACGCGGGTCAAATGAACCAAAATGAACAGCTAACAACGCGATAGGAATCGGTAGCAACGGTTGTCCTCACCCGGGGAACGACGCGCGAAGCGGCGTGTTGTCTGTCGGCACTCCCGTCAAAAAAGGCAAAATGAAGACACAAAAACTATATCTCTGCAAGGAATATCACGCGCAGAAGGGAATAGAAACACTTAGAAGCAATAAAAAATACACCAGACTAGATAAAGATAGGTAATGGAATCGAAAAGCAGAGGATTAAGAGGAGACAAGCGAAAAGGCAATGTGATCTCAAGGTAGAGAGGCCAGGCCAGGGGACAGTCCATCCCACAATTCCTCCCGCGCGGGCCGGGGCGCTTGGAAAACTGCAAATCGTCTATTCACGAATAAAGTGGGCCAACCCTAGAAGTTGGGCTACAAAACAGTAAGTAGCTTTTAAAGGAGTGCCACATAAGGTGAAAGGAACAAAGAAAAATACACCCGACTTTCTAAGAGAAGTTGATAAGCGTGCAGCAACGAACGAGGATGCTTCAAGCTTGTGGCAATAACACCTTCACATATTATCACATCTCTCTTAGTAGAATTTTTGGGTAGACGGAGCAATCTCTGCTGTTGTGACATTATGAAAATGGTCGTAGTCACTATAACCGAGAAGGACATTGTTAATTCTTGTCTAAACACTTACCGCCTCGAGTTCCTCGAAGAGGCATACCATCACTTGGTGTCCTCCTCTCCCCGTCTTCGACCGCAAAGAAAAACAGAGGAACCAAAAGAAAAAGCGGATATAACTTGCCTCCCCCCTTTTCCTTTTTTTTTTTTTTTTGTTGTAGAAATGTTTATTTTGATTTTTAGACATTTCTGTTAGTGTCTAAAAAAATTAATTCAGACGTTTGGTGTTGCAAAAAAAAAAAAGGCTTTGCGGAACTGAAGAGTGCCAAGCCTCCCTTTGCGCCAGACTTGGACGTAGTTCAACTACTCTACTCAAATTACTGTAGTCTTTTCCGAGTAACTTTGTAACTTTCAATTACAACTTGATTTGGGTAATTAGTAGTTTAATTTAACTACTTTTTTTAGGTAACTTCTACTCAAATTACTAACTACTTTCGAAATTATATAGTGGTAATTTTGCCCATCACGAAAGTTTGAGCGCAGAAATTAATAAGCGCCGGCAGATGAAGTGGCATTCCCGAACAAGGGGCCTCCTTGTTCGGGAAGGCGTCCTTGGGCCAAGGTGGCGACGAGCAGCCAAAACGTAACACCGGCACGCACGAACGCAGGAAGAGATGCTTAACCAGCCTTGGTCGGGTATTGACCTAATCCGGTAATGCACGCAGGCGCCGCGTTTCCAGCTGCAACCGTGAAAGACGGGGACACTCCCGAGAGTTGTTGTTGTTTTCGTGTTGTGTGTCTTTAGTGAGTCCTGACTCAAGCGGTAGGTTCCATGGGAGGCGCCACTGGAATGACCTCGCAGCTGGGCGCCTGTTCCCATGGTCGCCTTGTCAGCGCATACGCCTTTGCAAAGCCGTACTCCCCCGCGCACAAACCCTGGTACGAATAATCCGTTCATGGGAGCACGTTCCCGCTTCCAGCTGCAACTGTATACGAGCGACGATGCTTGTTCACGTAATCCTTCGCGTCCTTCCGACCATCCATGCCTGGGAGACCTCCTCTTTGTTAAAAAACGATTTACTTGTCAGGCGCGTCAGAATATTGTAGTCGCCGGCGGGGATTGCGAGTTACCCTTGGGAGATTCTTTTGTTGGACCCGGCGTTAGCGGCGAAGTATACTTCGGTTCCATCTTCTGTTAAACCAAAACAATTTCTTTTTTCAGTAGCGTAGCACTAGCATTACAATGAGATGCGCAGTCGTCCGGGTGATCTCATCGTCGTGGCGCGAGACTTGAACCCTTGACGGTAATGTGCACTCGCTCAGCGTACTCTCAGAACGACGTCGGAATAGAGAGGGGCCAGTCATAACACTCTCAACTTGACGAAGAAAAAAGAAAAAAGGAGGAAAGCTTGTTATGAAAGACCCTCTACCCGAGGCAAACCTCACATGTTTCGTCATGGACACCTAAAACGCCGACACTAAAACACGACCCTGCACAGCCTGTTTCTCAAATTCAACGCTGCCGTTTCATCCAGCCCGTCGCTGGAACGTATATTTAGCTTGGCTGGGGACGTCTTTAGATGGAAAAGGGGAAAACTATCCTATCAAGAACTTTGAAAGTCAATTTCTTCTGCGAGCGAATAAACTATCCTGGTGAAAACGCAAGCCATAAATAGACTGCATTATTTTAGGCTCGCAGGGTTTTTCATTGATCAAAACTGCTGTTCATTTTGCTACCACAAAGATATAAAAAAGTAACTTCGAAAGTAACTTCAAAGTAACTCGCTACTTTTTACAGTAGTTAGTAGTTTACTCAATTACTATTGCAAATGCGTAATTTCTACTCTATCCAATTACTTTTTGACTCCAACTAACTTTTTTGAGTAATTTGTACATGTCTGCTTTGCGCTGGTCAATTCGCGTGGCAGTGTAACTTTGCTCGACTTTACCAAAATAAAAATAACCCTTTCTTTAGAAGGGGGGGGGGATGGGCCCTGAAAGAAAAGTTTAGCGGGTTACAAGGAATCCGTTACGTAAAAAATGCAAGGGAATTACTCTAAAAAATACGTAGTTATTCCGTTCTAAATTACTGAGAAATGTAAGGGATTACAACTAATTTCGTTACTTGTAACGGATTACGTACATGTCTGGGCCGCAGGGTTACCAACCGTCCCAGATTTTGCGGGACTCTCCTGACTTTTCATTAGGCGTCCCGAGTCCCGCATCATCCCTGTCGGGACAGCTCTATGTCCTGGATTCGGTCAAGGCGGTCGAGTTAGAAATCTTATAGCGTTGGATCACATATAAGTTATATGTGATCCAACGCTGCGCGCCACGCTGCGAAACACGAAGTTCGCACAAATCGATCGAAGCAATGGTGCGGTGTGTAGCGTTAGCTGCGAGGCTTTAGCCACTTTAGCTTGCAAGAGCAATGACAAGCCGGAAATGCTGATGGGCGCCAGTCATCGTCACCATCATTTGTATAAACCCCATTGTATCTTCCTTCTCCTCCCTCGCGCTGCGCTGCACCCGCACCCCCCCCCCCCCTTCTCTCCCCTCCGTCCCGACTTCCTTCATTGAAAAGTTGGTAACCTTAATTGGCCGCCGCCATGATGCACATTTTTCGCCACTAGACACGTGACCTTATAATTTTACGTCTATAATTTAACGATGTACCACGCACAAATAATTGCTTTTTGATCTTTATTAACAATACAGACGAGATAAGTTATGTTTCGATCGTTTGAAGTCCAACATATGCTTTTACGCTAAAAACTCGGGCAGCTTCACAATACCTCCGCTAGATGCCGTCAGCCGCGGTGCTGTATTTTGGGTTCTTATTGGAGCTGCAAACTGATCTCTCGAACTAACAGTATTTAAAAAAAAAAATAGTTTATCATGCCCTTTTTTGTTAGAGCGATCGCAATACAAATTTTGGCTTAGTTTTGTGTAAAGATCTCAAAATTTGGTACGGTCACCTGTCTAGTGGTCAAAATTGTACAACATGGCAGCAGCCAAGTGGGGGTCACTTTTGCCTGGTGAACAGCGTACCAGTTTGTCGCCCTAGGCCCCTCTACCTCGTTGGTCACATCGCAACTTCTGCTCGAAAGAAAAGAAGAAGTTTAAGTAAATTCTTAAATTGTCGGACATGGACCGACAAATTCAGGCGATTGATTCATTTGTTGTATCCATTTGTTTACTAAGAATTGTTTACAAAATTAAAATGGCTCGCTGAGAAGCTCATCACGCAATATACGCATTTGAGTGCGAAAAATTAAACAGACGAATGGTAGTAATTCACAGCTTGCGTACATCTTATCTTTGGGGAAGCTGAAGTTTCATCGACTTACTAGACTTAAGACTTTGATCACGAGTGGGTCTCACGCGTTTCACCTCAACCAGGTAAATAAGCAGGTATTTAATTGAAAAGACTCCGAAAGTCAACCACCGCTTCTTCCTGCAAATTATTTTGAGGAAATGTTTGTTTACTGGTTTACAGAACTCAAAAACAAATCTACTTGGAACTAATAAGAGACCAGCACTCACAGAATACATAGGAACCAA